AGATAGATAGATAGATAGATAGATAGATAGATAGATAGATAGATAGATAGATAGAAAGGAGATACCAGATAGATCATGGAAAGCACATAATCCCAATCGGTTTGAATACGGTCGCATCTATATTGGTTCAATGGAGTGATACAAGGTGTATTCCTGAGCACTGTATATGTACTGTAACACCACAGTATACATTGCTTCCGGAGTGTCATAAAACACATGTGTACATTCGATTTAGCTTATTTTGGTTCCGTCGATTTTTTAAATATGTCAAACCAATTTCATCGTTGTAAGGGTTTCCCGAAAAATCCTTTTAAAAAAGTGATTCTGTTCAGGCCTTGGGAACGATGTCTCATTCTCTCTCTGTTCATGGTGAACAAGTTACACTCGAGATCTAATGGAAAGCAAAGGGATGAGGATGGGGGTAGGAATACCACTTACGTGTTTAAACCAGTCAAGTTTTCTTTTAGCAATTCGTGATGCAGTACAACGGGATCCCATGGAGCGTTGACAAAGGCTGAATGAAGCGGGTAAATGTACGGGGTAACAAGGTGTTACAAAAATAAGTTATGGAAACAAATAACAGCTGGTAAGTTTATCCAATCAGGTTATCCAAGAATGTGTTTTTGATACATTTATTGCTGTAAAGAATGTACATTTTCTCGTATTCACAATCGCGCCTAATATAGTTATCTCCTCATTCGAAACACCATGGAATGCTTGGAGGTGCAGACTGCAAATACTGTGCTCTTTATCAAATACTAAAGAACCCAAACCATCCACGTAGGCAGCTGCTCGTGTTATCGAACAATGTACACCTGACGGGACACCGCTTCCAGTTACTGATTCCAAAGTATCCACTGTAATACCGGCACCAATCTGTTGCAGTCAGAGTATACAGTACTTAGAACACCCTTCCGTCTCACGTCGTTTGTGCACCAACTATTAAATCTTTCAGGCGGAGACTCGATGAAACTTTGGTATACCTCACGTTCCTACATCACTAAAAGCAAATGCAAATTCACTAAAGCCTACATTCTTTATTATGGGGACAAGAGAAGCATGAGCTTGTAAGTAATTCCCATAATAAAACTTTGACTGACTTCGTTTCACCTGGGTCGTCTGTTTCGTGCGACAGTTCTGCTAAGCCACGTTCTAATGCTTATTCACATCAACAGCGGCGAATCTTTGCCCGGATGACGTCACGAATTACAGCACAAACTAAAATCTGCACTCTTACGAAACCTTTTCCTCCGTTTCTATGCGGGAACAGTTTCAACTTGCTGGATTGACTGGGTTAACATCAATTAAGATTGCTCATGACGGTATTCGTTCATTATACACTCACTAACCAATATCCGTTGCGTGGTTCTGTCATCGTCCTAGTTCTTTGTAAAGTTCCTGAGCAATTAGTGAGGAGAGGGAGTAATGGAAAAGCTTTCTACACCCCCCCCTCTCCGGGCCCCGCCCTCCGACATCAGTGTGCATTATGGCCACATTTCAACTGCATCGCAAAGCGTGAAACGTCGGTAGGTAGACCCATAGAGCATAGTTCATAGCAATCCCAGTAAAATTTGCTACCCCAAAGATACAGTTTTTATCAAACAAAATTGCTTAGAACTGACAAATGTTAGATAGATTACAAACAAACAATTGGAATTCACATTTTAGTACAGCGCTTTTACTTATCGGTCAATCTAGTACGAACGGGAGAAAACAGTGCCAAGTTCATTATTATGATCATATCAAGTCATCGATTGGATCTGTTCTGGTAGAGAGTCGAGAATTGCATATGGAGAATGGATAAGCTGATAACGAGTACGGTACCCACGGCTAACATGTTCAATCCGCCCATAGGTAGATGTGTACACTAATGGTCATACCATTGTCGAACGAATTATGCAACGATCCTTCGGCTTACAACACAAGACGTTTTCACATACAGATAATTACCGTTCTCGAAACACTGATTAATATTCCTACTATGCTCACCATTCTGAAGTAACCAGCACACGCTGTTTGAATTTCAAAAGCCTGCTAACCAACCAGTTGCATCGATTTGGTGTTGGTTGTTTCATCACTCTCGGTTTTGCTGTTTTCCAGTCATTCGGGTATGTGGCTCCGAGTTTTGTATCGTGATGTCACAATGTATCCATCGATTGTCATAGGCAGAGCTGAGAACGGTGTGTCATAATGAACGCCGTAGATGGTCATGTTTAAAAGTTTGTGTAGAAGTTCTTCACTAACAAGGATCTTATCAACTGCTAAGGACCAAATGCTACCTTATTGGTCTCAGTATTAAAGACAGCCTAAACGTGTACGGTGGAAGTTAGTTTTAGTGACACTTCCATTAGTTTATTCCAGTAATCCTTTTTCTGAAGAAAATGAACAATCAGTGTGCGAACCTTCTGCTACGTCTATCAAGTGCATATTGTTTTCATTTCTCAATTGGAAAAAGAATGGCAACCCAAGGGAACATATGCCGTCAAGTGCCGTCTGTGCAACCGAGGGAAAAAAATGGTTCCCACTATACACACGCATGCGCGCACGCATGCATATATGTACACGTCTGTGTGTGATGATCTGATGCAAACCAGAGTGCAAACTGGACTCACCCAATACGCGCCTCAGTTCTTCTTCTGTCCTCAAGATCAATGATTCGTAACGAACCTCGATGCATCGGTGCCGGCCCAATATTTTACACTCATCTATGATTTTCGCCACCTGCTTTTGCCACTTGAGTAAGGCACCCAGATGATTACGTTTGCTGAGAAGATGCCGACTGGGATGGGAGAAAGAAGATAATATTATTCAACTTATGGATACCACTGGCGCGTATTTGGCATTTTGTTTGGTCAATTTTATGACTGGGTGCCCTTGTTCTTTAGGTATTCTCACGTGATTTGAACATCCTTTTATCTGCTGTTCTGATGAGTTCCTTATTTCCGGACAACTGGATTTGGTTCCAAAGCGTCATTATGATCGGGATTGGTGGTGTCTTCGGTTATGGCTGGTTACACTTTCCTGGCACTTCTTGAATTAATCCCACATGATCGAGCGCCTCGAACAGCTTTTGTTGAAGAAACATCATTCATCTCCTTTATATAGTGAAGGTGTTTTGCCCACCAAATTGAGAGGACGAAAAGCCGAAGTTGGGGGCTAAAACCGGGTCGGTGAACCACTGGAAGTTCATCTAAGGGGTTGCCTTCAAAACCAAATTTGAAGTGAACTAAGAGGCCAAGGGACCTCACGAGGAAGCACACACATACAAATTCCAAGTCATCAGCTGAGTTGAACACCGAGGTTATTGGGCACCTTGCAAGTTTTACTCCGTTCAAAAAGTATATTTTCAGATAAATTGCATATCGCACCCCAAAAGGATTGCTGTATTCACACATCGCGCCACCGTCTTTAGGTCAGGCATTGGGTAGAGGGGGGATCCGGTTATGATTTCTCAAGGAAAATCCATCTGCACTGGCTGGGTGAACTTTTCCGCCCATTAATAAATCATGAATCTTGTTCTTCATCATAAATATAATTGAACTGTATGTTTTTGGCATAGTCTGAGTTCACGTAAGCGGAAAACGTAATAATGGTAAACTAACCTACAGGGCTGGTTTTAAACTGTTCCCCGCTGAATTTATCATTGACGTCAACGTTTCTAAAGCTGCCAGTTCTGATGCACTGTTTGTGTCACTGTGGTGTTGAGTTCGTGCCCCAATTTTGTGAAAGCATTTAGCCCGATGTCACACTGAGCAAATGACCAGTCTGCGTGCGATTCACCTTTCTCAATACAGCTTGTTGACACGTGTGCTGAAACTCCTGGCTTTATCATCCGATCAATCACCTACTCTATAGTTTATGTGGTTACGGATCAGCGTTTTCGTACACGCAGTCACTTTTCCGTTTCTGCCACCGTTGCAATAGCGACTTCTTTTGTGTGCTTAGTGCTACCAGTATCCCAGTGCATTCACACAATCTGAAGGTACTGAAATATAAGTGGCTGTGACGTGAGAATGATGTTGTGGAAAAAGCAAAGTGATCTGATCGCATACATCAGCCCGTATACGGACAAAAAACGGTTGACCTGGTCTACATCTCAAAATATTTAGCAAACTATCTGTTTACATACCGATTCAAGTGTGTGGCATTCTCCCACCCCGATAATCAGCATGCCAGCTAAGTAGTTCTCTAGTAATTTAACTCGGTCCGGTTGCTTGCAGCGCAGCTGATGGTCAATCCTTTTTAGATAAATCCGTACGTATGATTGGAAAGGCCACATACGAGGTAAATGTGTAGACCTGAGGATATGTAATCCAATCACCGATCAAATCTGTCATGCATTAGTCCATTTTTCAATAGCTTGCAAGAAACTTTCTGCTGACACTATCAATACCCTCCCGCTCCCCTTCCCGAACAACAGCAGCACTACTATAACCAGAAAAAAAGCAATACAAATCCTAACAACATTCTTCATCAATCATTATCTTTCACAGTGAACCGATGATAATGAATAAGCTATATTTGTTCAACTAAACCCGGTTTTGGTGCTTACAGATACCGTCAATATGAAGGATAAATAACAAGCTTGTGGATAAAGATACCATTGTGTTTTGATTCCTTTCAAACAATGACCCATAAACTTGGCATCAATTGGTGCTTTGTGATTCGTGTTTATAGNGATTCTTTGAACTACCTCCTTAAATGCAAATACGGCCTCGGTACCCCAAAGTAAAAATGATATGTGTTATGCTGTGCTGGGATAATTGTGTCACACCGCGATGCATTTGTGCCACTCCTGACACAGAACGAAATGATGTTGTTTTGGGGTGTCAGTAAAATGAGGCACCTTTCCATTGAGTGACATATTCTGAGCCAATGTTAGACTGATCAACGGCTAATTATTTCTACTTGAGCTTTATGAAAGAGAAGAGAATGCTGTACGTCCCACAAAAGTTGAGTAGAGAGACATAGAAATGCACGGAGTTAATTCGAAGCTATAGATACATCACGAAAAAACACATTCCGGGTGACAAAATGCGAGTAGGATAAAGTGTGGTTGAGTCGCGTGCTTTTGTGCGTGCTTGAACGGGTTATTTCACAGATCGAAGGCATTTCAAATACTTGAGCGGCAACAAATAGTCCAGGTGGTGGTGATCGAGTAGTAAGGTTGTCGGAATAACTAGCTGGGAGTCCTGAGTTCGAACCTCGACACAAGGGCCCATCTTCCTATATTCTATATTCCCACAGGCAGACTTTGTATGACTGCGGCCGCCGTCCTTGGAGCTTATTTTTCTTTCCGATAAGCAATAAACAAAAAAGCAATAAAACACATTCTTCTGGTTACTTCTTGTGATCTGTAAGATGCTAATCCCCTCCTTCTTCATTCCCAATTTATATTAAACGATTTTTCATTCCTCCTGTATTTTTTGGCTGCAAATACACCAACGATGTTGTTTTAGAAGGACGACGAACCCACTCCTAAAGAGGATTTAGAAATTCAAATCAAGCTGAAAGATGCTATAAATGGGTTCTTGTCACCTCTTTCATTAATTACCTCGAAATGTCATAATGTTTTGTATTCCCCCGTTGGCCTGGATACCATATTCAGCCATCATAAATAGCATCTCTTCCCCTTATGCCAATCTTGAACCCATAGCGACTTCAAAGAGGGTGAACTATTCTTGGTATCTCACCATCAAACATTTGATCATGGTCCATGCATGATCAAGACACATTCTGTAAAGTGATAAAACCGACATACCCCGCTGAAGAAGACATTCTGCTCCCCGCAGGTTTATTGTTAGGTTTGTGAATGCATGCATGCTCCCTCACTGGTTGCACTGCTCTCCAGTATGTTGAAGAAACATTTCAATTAACAACAAATTTCTTGAAACACGTCTCTAAATGCAGTGACATCAGGGACAGACACCTACAAGTATGGGGAAACTTTATTTGCACATCACACAAACTCGTATTTACATCATCCACACGCTCAAGGATCAAAATTTCGTTTTCGCCAACATATTCCTACCACAATTCTTTTTTCAATCATATTGCGTACCCCTGCTTGTTGATAAAGAGGAATTTTCCATCGAATTATATAATTTCTTACTTTATTTGGAAATTCAACCTCTGATAACTTTTATTTAATTTTCTGTCATCTGCAACCAAGTATGCAGTCCAAAGTAGTCCATGAGTACAATCTTAGGGTGGCTTAACCGCAGAGTTATTGATCGATGTACTAAGCTCAACATTAAAGCCGACCCAGTGGAAACAGTACAAGTGAGAACAGACGTTTCTCAAGTTGATTTCTTAACAAAATTAGCATCCACGAGCCAATAACAGGACTTCTGTATTGTCCGAATGGGTGATTAGAATCTGTCTGTATGGTATATCAGAGCTGACGGAAGGGGTGAAAAAAATGAATCGATACAATGGTACAACCGCATAACAAGACCCGTTAGTTTGCCTTTAGAACTGCAGAGAGGTATAATGTGCTAGTGTGTAACACGAATATGTTCCAACATATGCGAAGCAGCTTCTCAGTGCACCCTTTTTAGGTCTTCACACAATTTTACCCATACAAATCGGTATTCGCGCTTTGCAGACTGGGAATGGACGCCCGGCCTAGACTGTTGCACTCGTTTTCTTGTTCAGTGGGTCAAAGTAATACAAGTGACGCTCGACACGTGTTAATACACTCACTTCATGGATGACGCGACCGCTCCTCGTCCGTCGCGTATCATGTGGATAAACTTCGCTTTTGGAAATAACTTTCCCAAAATTGGAAGGTACAAAAACGTTGAAGGTTGCTTGTGACATAGAATCTTGGCATCCGGTCCCATGTGTTCGATTGTCTCCGAAATATACGACCGCGTCGCGTTGTTCAGCGCGTGCGGATAGATGCCGATCTCAGTCGAGCGATCTCGTTGTTCAACCGCGAACTTTCTCCACAAACTTAACACTTTCAACGAGATCATCGGTTCTGCACCGCATCGAATCCAAGGGTGAGCATCCATTTTAATACGCATAAGTCCGGTACCTTTACGTTTTGAAAAACGTATGAAACAAGTGAACGAACTGTGGTAAATATCAAATCAAAACAACGAATGAAGTTCAAATGTCGTAATGAAAATGTGAGCTGAGTTATGAACCGATAGACCGTTTGGGTGCGGGAATAGGGCGGAACGATTGGTCACCTTGGTTATGCAGATCTGCGAATCGGCAACGTGAATTTTACAAGCGAGGCAAATGTTGAATCTCTATATTGCTCTTCTGAAGCTCTTTTACACACATTTGTTTAGATACTGATCTGTCACTTAACCTTGTTTAAACCCCGGACAGGTTATCGGCCACTGGACATTTGATCGCTAGACGTAGGTGCAGTTCGCCGTGAATTACTCTATCCGCTTCTTTGCCTACTAAACTCTAATGTTCTCACTCCCTCTAAGGACCACTATCCCGGACCCCGAAATGGCTTTCTTACAACCAAAAACATTTCATGTGGGTAATGGAGGATTTGGTTAAGTTTCAAATGACAATTCGTCGTGTATATGGCAAATGAAGCGTGAACTGAAAAGCTCGGAAGCACTGGACAGCTGTTTCGACCTGGTTGGGTCTCATCAGCAGTGCGAATCCATCGACCCGACTGGGGATCGAACCCGGGACTTCATGGGCAGAACGCAAGCGTGCTACCCACTA